AGAGAGAGAGAGAGAGAGAGAGAGAGAGAGAGAGAGAGAGAGAGAGAGAACTGAGCAATACAAGATTGGTTCGCTACGCACCTGCGCTGAAGACATCACCACAATGAGAGAGAGAGAGAGAGAGAGAGAGAGAGAGAGAGAGCTGAGTGAAACAAGATTGGTTGTGCAGTCGACGAAGAAGGGAGTGGCGGCCATAGCCGCCGAGCTTGGACACGGGGTTGGTGAAGGAAGGAGAAGTGGGGAAGGGAGGAGAGACCGGAGAAGAAGGAGGAAGGAGGGACAACAAAGTTGAAGACAGACATAGCCGAGGGTGAAAAAAAAAAAAAAAAAAGAGAAAGAAGAAAGGTGAAGGAAGGGTGGCGAGGAAGAAGGTGCCAGCAGCCATAGCCGACTTGGAGGTAGACCGGGCGTTGACCAAGGGTTGACCGGGCGTTGACCGGAGGGTTGACCGGAGCGTTGACTGGGGTTTGACAGTGTTGACCAAGCGTTGACCAAGGCGTTGACCAGGAGCTGTTGACCACGATTTGGACCAAGCTGGAGTTGGTATAATCTCGCCAAGCCCTTAGCCTATCCCCCTTGCCCTATGGATGTGCACTCACCCTATGGTACTTGCTGAGTCTGAGTCTGTCTGTCTCTTCTGCATTGAGTCTCTTATATCCAGGTGATAGGACTCCGTGTATGAAGGATAGGGCCTCGTTGACCAAACCCACACGGGCTGAGTAGGGCTAAGGACTGTGTCTGACGACTCGACTGTCCCGGAGGACACGAACCCTCCCAAGGACCGGTACTGATCGGCGGGCTGCTCGGTGTGGCACGATAGGCCCAAAATCCGAGTTGTGGGCTGCACAACGGGCCGTCTAAGTCTTGAGAGAACCTGCTGACCGCGTCGTCCCGTCTGCGACGTTAAAGAATTCCTGAGGAGTTACGGGGGATCTCCTTAAATGCCTCCTGGTCAGCAACAGGTTCTGTAGTGACGGCTGTAATGATTAGAGTCTAGGCTAGAGACCATAGTTGATAGGGCTCTCTACGAACCCTGTGGTCCACCGATCGAGTCGTTTTTAAGTTGAGTCAGTTAGGGGGAGAGTCTAAGTGGTGAGGAGCGGAACTGTCACTTGGTTGTGCACCTTTCACCATGGTTGGCACACGTAGTGGTCGAAGCACCTCCCCTTACACAGCAGAACAGGGGGCGAAAGCCGCCACCATCTCAAAAGAGAGAAAAGAAAAGAAAGAGGCCAAGAAGAAGGCCCTGATGGAGGCGCAGGCGGCGAAATTGAAGAAGATTGAGGAGGAGATGGCCAGAGAAAGAGAGAGGCTAAAGAGAGAAGAAGAAGAGAAGCTCAAGGCGGTAGAAGAGGAGGAAGAGGAGGAAGAACAGCCATTGGAAAGGCGAAGGGCAGGAGGAAGAGGTGAATCTAGTGGCACAAAAGAAGATCAGATGGAGAAGAAAATTACAGAGTGGGTTGCTGGTTTGTCCTTGGGGGAAGAAGAAGAGGCACTGATGTATGTGCCCAGGGAAGAACAAGAGGCGGCCATGAGAGAGTGGGATGCAGAATGGAGGATGAGAAGAGGATGGAGTGGAAGTTTCAATTAATGAGGGAGAGAAAAAGGAGATTGGAGGCGGCAAGCGAGGCGGTGAAAGAATTGGAAGAGGTGAAGAAGCAGAGAGACCAGATGGCGATGCAGGTGGATCTACTGGGGAAAATGGAAATAGTGGCAAGAAATATAGAGCACCTGGCACAAGTCCAGGAAGAGCAATATTTATTTGGTAGAGGTCAAGACATTGCCTTACGCTCTATACGGCTGGGCCTCAGGGACTTCGCCAGGGAATTGGCGACGCAGGTGGGCTCAGAGGTGAGGGCCCGCCTAGAGGGCACATAACGTTATTGTACGGGTGTCATAGAAGGCGCCAGATTGACTGCTCCCAAGGAGGAGGAAGTACGTCCCCTAAGGGAGCCTGTCAAGGTCAAGTTCCCTGACTCTTATAGTGGGAAGAGAGAAGATAATTTTGACAATTGGGAAGCCAATGTCAAAACCTACGTCCATCTGCAGAAGGTCTCCCTGGATGAGCATGTCCTGATAGCCATCCATGCCCTTCGAGACGAAACAGCAAGCTTCGCCCGTTCCTTGCGCCGCGCCGCTAACTGCAATGATGATTTAGTTGCTTATTCTGCATTCACTCCCCTCACTGACTTTCTTAAGTTATTGCGCGAACGATTTGCAGACGTTACACGTAGTGTCAAGGCCTCAGACAAACTGCAAACCATCCATTCTCCCCAATGGAAGAGTGTCAGGGCACTCAAAGGTGTGATGGGCGAGTTGGTCGCCGTTCCTGACCATGGGGTCACAGAGACCCGGTTGGTCAATCTCTTCTACCGCGCTATGCCCGAGCAGTTACGTGGGCATTTCTTTGAAAAAAGTCAGCAGCCTACCATGACCTATGATGCACTGAGCAGGGAAGTGGTAGCATTTGAAGCACGGTCTGCGTCAATTTCCACTTTCTGGCACAAGGACCTGGACAAGGGCAAAAAGTGGAAAGGTCGCACCATCTCAGGACAGGTCAAGACCAAGGATCGCCTGATCCTTACCTTAGATGAGGGTGGTGTCGACGAAGTCCCCTACGAGCAGATTGAGTGGGGACTAGAGGAGGAGGACAGTGGCGTTAGCCACGGGAGGACTTACGCTGCTGTCGCGGTCGGAGGGAGGCCGCAAGGAGGAGGTAGAGGCTAGGGCCAAGGGGGTCGGGCCTCAGGGGGCCGTTCCCAGGGCGATCAGGGGGTTGGTGGTAGAGGAGGAAACCGCCAAGCG